ATAATTGCACAGTTTGCAAGATTTACAGCCAGTATTTTACTAAATATATATATTTTTTGTCTGCTTCCCTCCAACTTCAACCTCACACATTAGATTGGTTGCTATCATTCCACACGGCTCTGTAGCTATATTTGTCTTTTTTCACTTGTCTTTTATGTTGGGTAGGTATTGTTTGCTGTATCTTTAAGGTCAGTCATCTTTTCTTTTACCATTTCTGTCAGATGTTAATCAAAGTGAAAATTTTATTTGATTTTTTTTGTTACCTGTGAGTTCCATTTTTAATATTTTTTACTATCTTCCAATTCTCTCCTCTCATTCATTTTCCATTACATTCTTAAACATATGAGACATATTGATAATAGCTGATTTAATGTCCACGCTTGTCTCTGTTATCATTTCTGTTGTTTTCTTGTTTTATTTCTTGATTTTTTTCCTGGTCATTGCTTACATTTTCCTACTTTTCTGTATAGTTTGTAAATTTTCATTGGATGCCATACTTTGTGATTTTTTTGTTGAGAGCTAGGTTTTGTTGTACACAAATGCTGTGTGTGTGTTTGCCTGTTAAGTTAGTTTTGGAAAATTTTGATTCTGTTGAGGCTATTTGTGAACTCTTAGGGATGGTCTAGAAGATAAGTTGTTGTAGGCTTCATTTAGCCTACTTCTAAAGTCATGTTCTAGTCTCTACTGAATGTGTTAACATAGTCAATGAGGTCTTGGCACTCTGGCTAGAGGGAACATGACTGATTCCTGGCTCTGGGAGCTTTGGGACTTGTTTGTATTGCAGCTGTGCTGTAATTGTTCTTTCCTTGGAACTTGTTCTTGTTTAGCCTTTTGGGGTTTTATACCACTTTTATACAGATTAGTATTCAGAGAAAAACTTAAGGGTACCTTTATGCAGATGTCTGGATCTGTTTCCCTGTACAACTCCCTTCCCTTGTGTACTCTCTCCCACAGTTTCTAGCCTGAACTGATGATTTCTGTGTCCTCATTTCAGTACAAGTGCCAGTCTTTGAGTTCCCCTCTCTGTGCTACAGTTTGCAGATTAACTCCATGCAGAAAGCCTTTGTGATGGTAGGGTTCACCTTGTTTGTTTCCTGTTGTCCAGTGATTACAGTCCTGTCCCTACCTTTTGTTTAATGTTTAATAATGTTTTTTTCCCCCCTATATTTTGTCTGGTTTTCTAGTTGTTTATGGCTGGAGGGTAATTTGAACGTCCTCCTTACTCCCATGTGGCTTTAAATAGGAGTCCACTATATTATTTTAGGAACTCAAATTATCTTTAATTTACAGTATTAATATGGAACATTGGATTTTTGGTGGAAAAGTTTCTCAGGTTGTTAGTGGTATTATTTTACTTCAAATTTCCTTGCAGCAGAATGAATCAAAATTAAAATGAAAGGTTAAGAGATACAAAAGAAAAAGAGAAGGAAAAAAAGCCAAAGAAAGATTGGAATAAATAATTTTTAGGTTGCCATTTGTATAATGAGACTTCAAAGTTCTATTAAAAACCCAAACTGGGAACATCTGAATGCAACATGGAAATGTAAAATGTATACATCTATTTTTACTGATACGGGTTTGACAAAGTATGACCATTATCTGTTGCATTCAGAAAAAATAAATTCAGCATTTGATTAGTCAGAACAATTACATACCAGAAGCCAGTGATCAGCAATAAAAAGACGTGAATGAAATATGGGGAATTTAAAAATGACATGATGTTGGGGCGCCTGGGTGGCTCAGATGGTTAAGTGTCTGCCTTTGGCTCAGGTCATGTTCCCAGGGCCCTGGGATCAAGCCCCGCCTTGGGCTCCCTGCTCAGCGGGGAGCCTGCTTCTCCCCCTCCTTCTGCCTCTCCCCCAGCTCATGCTCTCTCTCTGTATCTCTGTGTCTCAAATGAATAAATAAAAAAATCTTAAAAAAAAAATAAAAAAAAAATGACATGGGCGCCTGGGTGGCTCAGTCGTTGAGCGTCTGCCTTTGGCTCAGGTCATGATCCCGGTGTCCTGGGATCAAGCCCCGCATCGGGCTCCCTGCTCTGCGGGGAGCCTGCTTCTCCCTCTCCCACTCCCCCTGCTTGTGTTCCTGCTCTCGCTATCTCTCTCTCTGTCAAATAAATAAATAAAATCTTTAAAAAGAAATAAAAAAATAAAAATGACATGATGTTGATAAGTTGGTCCATTGAGCAAAAGGAAAAAAATTCTGATGGATTGATGAATGTAAAAAGCATGCCTTATTGGTGCCAAAACCAGGAATTAAGAGGAATAGGAAGGAAAAGAAACAAAGCAAAAATTAAAAATTTCTTTTTGAGGAATACAGACAAGTGATACACATGCACACACTCCCTGCTTCCACCTTTAGATAAAATACATTTGAAATAAAGCCAGTTGTGCCATAAAAACAATAACTTCGCAAGGGTCAGGATAGTGGAGGAAAAAAACATAAAAGAGCAACAAACACTGGCTTGGAAGATTAAATGAGAAAGACAGCTAAGTCATACATGTTTTCCTTTCTTCAGCAGTGAGTGTTGATAATCGTGAAGAATCATAAAGAAAAGATTAAAAGTAAATTCTGTCTCCATAATATCTCTTGAATTAATTTCTTATTCTCAATTCCATTGTAGCAGTCGTGTTAGTATTATTTCAAGAATTTCCAGTCTCTCTGTACATAGTCCTTATAGTGGTGTATAGGTTTCTAAAAAAAGTCATCCCTTTTTAAAAAAAATTTCTTTGGCCTCATATCTCCTTACTGCCCCTCTCAGTCACTCTGTTCCAGCCACACTATATTTTTCAACACTGGAAACACTGTTCTTCCAACTCTCACATACTTGTAACTTTGTATTTGCTGTTCCTTCTACTGTAGTGCTCCTTTGCCAGATAGCTGCATGGTTTGGTTTCTGTTGTACCTCAGATCTCTACTGAAATGTCTCCTGACTGAGATTAAATTTTATTTTGTAAATTTTATTTTATAATTATCTTATTTTAAATGGTAGTCCGTCATACTTCATTTTTTTCATTTGTATTTTCTTGATGTTGTGTTTTGTTTACAAGAGTAACAGATATTTCTTCTCACTAGATTGTGGTTTAGTGAAGGCAGAGATTTTGTTGTTTAACCCTGTATCTGGTGTTTTAACAGAGGCCAGACACAGGAGGATTGTTCGAGTTGTCTAATGATGCTTGTTAAATATGTTGTCCAAATAATTGTTTAAAATGTTTCTAACTGTATTTCGTCTCAGTTTCTGAGTGAGATGTGAAAATTTCTCGTGATTTTGAATCTGTCAATTCCTCGTTGTTCTGTAAATGTTTGCTTTATACAACGTGAGTAGTTCTGTTTTATTTTCCTGGTAAATTAATCTTTAAATTATTGAATAATGACAGCCAAGTTTAAGCCACTTATATTTACTGTGATAACTCGTATTTTTATTTAAATTTTTATCTTATTTTCTATGTATTATGTATTTTTTATTTTCTTTTTTGCCTCCTGTTGGATTGGTCAGACTTTCCTCATCCCATCTGTTCTTCCCCCTTTGACTGCTTTAACGTTTTCTTTTTTAATTTACTTATTTGACAGAGAGAGAGAGACAGCGAGAGAGGGAACACAAGCAGGGGGAGTGGGAGTGGGAGTGGGAGAGGGAGAAGCAGGCTTCCTGCCGAGCAGGGAGCCCGATGCAGGGCTCGATCCCAGGACCCTGGAATCATGACCTGAGCCGAAGGCAGATGCTTAACCGACTGAGCCACTCAGACGCCCCTAACATTTTCTTTTGAATTTAACATAACTACTTAATAAATCCTGAAGATAATTATCCTCTCTCTTTTTTCATGAGTAGAACAATCAACCTTGGAATCATTTAGCCCCAGTAAGTCCGTTTAGACGCTTACTCAGTTCTGTCTCTTTCCCCTTTGCTCATGAAGTTTGAAACAATGCTGTTTTGGCTCTTTGATCTACTATGTTATATTGACTAACTTTTAATATTAAATCATACTTGCATGTTGATAATATTTACTAGTATTTTACTTAGGTTTTGTTTTTTCAACATATTTTTTTTCAACCATAGTTTTTGGATGTATTTGTTAGGATTTTGGTTCAAGTGTTTTCTTTTAAAGGTTTTTTCGGGTAGGGATGACTTTCTGACAATTTGCAATAATTCATGTATAAAGCTACTTAGCTGATTGCTTCAGCTTCAAAAAATTCTTGTGTTACATCTCCTTTTTTGGTTTTGATTAAATATCATTTAAAGGAAAGACTTAAATAGACTTTCAATTGCTTGAAAAAGCTTTTTAATTTTTTCATATTATTATTCTTTTATTTTGTGCCCTTAGTGTTTTTCAACTTAAATAGAGTTTGTGTCTTTTTAAGTAATGAAATAATTTAAAGCTCTGAAATTATCTGAGTACTACCGTCAGTTTCTGAATTTTTAAAAATATGTGATTTCCTGTTTTTTCTTACGTGTTCAAAAAAATTTTTTTAACTCCTTTCTATTCTTAAATTCTGAGATTTCACAAAATTTAAAGGCGTTAGTGTGTTTTGTTTTGTTTTTTAAATTGGATTGAGTCAAAGAATCTCACCTTACCATGACTCTTACTTTACTGAAGTGAGTTTTATAAATTAAATTGCATCACATTTGTAAGATGTGTGATTAGATTATGTTCAATATTTACAAAATTTTTTTTTGAGTGGTTTGCAAGGATATGCAGCACTTTCATGTATGGAAGTGTCTTAAAAAATACACTTGTCTGGGCATCATTCTTCAATTTCACTAGATATAGAGGTGTAACCTGGTGCATGAATTTTGCAGATAACCCATTAGGTGGTTAAAAACCACCAGTCTAGACAGAGGGTCATCTCAAGTTCAGCTCAAAAGAGGGACAAAGCCTAATTAATATAAAGAATACTTCAAGAAGTAAGTTATGATGACAAAATATAGTAATCTGGGCCTGTGCTCACGTTTATGTGTAAGGGAGGCCTGGGTTTGAGGGAAAAATGACTCTGAAATGTGATACTTACTGTTTGATTGGTAACATGTAGTAAAAATTGCCAAAATTATTTTATCATGTATACCTTCAACTTCCTTATTTAAATATAATCGTAATCCTTAAAATTTAACTTTTAATTTAAGTTAAAAAAATTTAACTCTGTGTCCTTGCTCCTGTGCAGGCCTCGAAGTAGAGGAAAAACCACAGTGGAGGACGAGGACAGCCTGGACGGCCTGGAGACGGCGGGGGCAGAGAGTACTCTGGAATCAGGTACCAGCGGACTTTCACGAACCGACGTCATAATTTGCACAGTTAGCACTTGTCTGTATACTGAGTTCTAAAATCTCCATCTGCTGAAATAGTTTGGTAGAGGCCATGACAGTGAAAAAATTTAGTTCCCTCTCTCTCTCTGTTCCCTACAGCCCCGATTTAGTGGGAAGTATACAACATCTGTAGAGAAATAGTTTATTAAAGCAAAATTAAAACTGGAGTAAACGGTAATTCCAGGCTGTTAATATGATAACTTACAGTATATTTCTGCTTTTGAACCATCCAGCATTTGTTTGAAGCTGATTGTGTTAGTATGTGCGTGAGGGGAAAAATATGTTCCGTTAAAGAATAATATTGTGAAATGCTTCGTTAAACCAGACCAAATGCTTTCTGGTCTGCTGGACATTTAGGTACCTTAAATAGGCTACTGTGTATTTTGTATCTGCAAAGGAAGATAGAGTAGGTTGCCCAAAGTAATTTCCAAAATTTATAAAGTTAATGATTTAAATTGTCAAAGGGACGAGGTTTCATATTGTATTCAGAGAGTATCTGTGTGAGATGGTGTCTCATGGGCAATGGTTTTTTTTTTTTTTTTTTTAACAGTTGTTGGATAGAGTTTAGACATAGTGATGGGCTTTTTCTCTGAAGTTGATTGTCCTCTTCTTGTTTACAGAATATTATACAATTTTTAGAGAAGAGTTAGAAATTGCTGTATCTTGAAATACAGTTTTCCGTAAAATACTTTTGGTTGTCAGTGTGTTGCAGCTAGATGGCTTTAATTCTTGGAAAGCCTTCAAATGTTCTCTAGTTCTCATCCATCTTTTCAGTAGGGTCTTGGTAGGTAGAGTGATGACTGAAGGTTGGAATGCAGAATTCTACCTTTTGCTGTTTTGCTGCAAATTTGTTACCACATGTTTTAAACTTGAATTTATGTAAATTCTCCACTAGTTATTTTTCATGATTTCTTTTCCATAAATTTTTTCTGTACCATATACTGTTACTTTCTAGTGAAAGGTTTTTTTTTCTTTGAAGTTTTAAGTGACATTTTTCAACATAATGATTACTTACAGGTTGCTTTAAACCAGTGCTGCCAGACTGTACCCCAGGCCCCCTTTTCTGCACTTAACAAGTCTTCCTGAGTACTTTCCCTCTTTCCCTGAAGATTTAACACCTGCCTTTCTATTTCCCTCTTCTTCTCCCATTGTGATGTTAATAATCTATTCAGTACCCAGGCCTCTTGGCTCCTTGATTTCTCAACATTGTGATTCTCCAGCCTACCTCAGCCTGTCTGTGTTCTGGTCATATGTGATCAGCCTCTGTCATTCATTGTCTCACTTGCTGTGACAATTGCTGTTTCACTTCCACAATCTCAGCATCAGCTGTTCTACCGTCTGACTACTACCTGTTCTTCTTCCAGCTCATTTTCTCCTAATATAGCACCATAATAATTCTTGAACCATACTGAGTCCTACAATCCAGTGATCTTAGAGATGGGGTTGTTACCCTCCTCTGCTAGCTCAGAGTCTGACCCACTGTTGGAGTCCTTCTCTTATTCACCTTTAACGCCTTTACCATCATCCCACTGTTTTATTACAAAACCCAAATTCTGCAGCTGATAATGGCTGGTGAAAATCATAACCTTGTTGACTGGTTTCATTTTAAATTTATGACCTCAAATCTCAAGTGGGTATGATTGCTACTCTGCACTCATTTTACTTTTATGTAGAAATTTCCTCTCCCATTATCAGTCATGGTTATTTCACCACCTTCTCTTCTCTCTTCAAATTTCCAACACTTCCTCCTGTTTCTCATTCTTCAGATATGATGATTTTGCTTATTTCAATGAAGAAAAGAAAAAATAGAAACAACCAGGGGAAAGAAATTCTACATTCACCCACCATCAAATCTTCTTTTCTCCTTGTAGCTCCTCCCATGTATTTTACTTTCCCTACTGTTAAAATGGGATGAAAAGTCTCTGGTTATCAAAGGCCAGCTCTTCTGCTTGTGTCCTCTATTCTCACTCTTCATCTCTTAGGGACTTTACGCCTTCAGTTTTCCTGGGTTTCTTGCATCATGCATTTCCTGTCTCAGTGAATGATTTCCATTAGCATTTGAACATGCAGTATTATCTTTCTTGAACACGAACACCTTTTCTTGATCAGATATCCCTTTTCAGCTACTTTTTTGATTTTTTGCTCACCTTTATAGGAAAAATCCTTGAAAGAGTTGTCTATACTAATGGCTGCAGCTTATTTTTGCCAAAACGTCATTTTCTCATGAACCTCATGAGAGGTTCTCATGAACCTGCTCCAAGTTGGGCTTTCTTCCTCCCACTCCACTAAAATCATTCTTGTCAGTGTCACCCATGATCTCATATGGCCAGAGCCAGCTTTTAGTCTTTGTTGGCCTTAACTATTCAGTGTTGTTGCACACAGCTAACCACTTTCAGTAGTGACAATTTATTATTTTTTACTTGATTTTCAGGACACCACATTCTCTTGTTTTTTTCCTACATCACTGGTGTCTCTTCATTCTCTTTTGCTCATCTTCAGTTTAGTTGCTTAAATACTACCTATGTGTCGTGACTCCAGAACTTATATTACTAGCTCTTTTCTTGCTTTGAGCACAACCTATATCTTTAGCTTTCTTCTTAACATTTACTCTTATATGTCTAAAGAGGATCTCAAACTTCATGTGTTTTCTGTGGCACTATTTTTTGTTATCCTGAAACTTCTCTTCCAGTGTTTCCACCTCATTAAATGACATCATTATTTTTCAGGCTGAAATATGGAGCCCATTGGAAAATCTTTTGGGTTTTACCTTCACAATATATCCTATTTCAAACACTTTTCACCTCCTTTACTAATCTCATTCCACTGCTTGCCAGCACCTCTCCTTGTGTGGGCTCCTGTAAGAGCTTCCTGTCCCCATGCTTTTGCTCTTTATTCTAGTCTTGTTGTCCTCATAATAGTCAGGGATCTTTTCAAACCAAACTAAGAGTCTTACTTCCCTCTGTCAACCATCCAAAGTCTCCAGTGATATTTAAAATAAAATCCAAAGCCCATACCATGATCTTCAGAGTGTATTAATCCGACCTTGGCTGCCTGTCCATCCACATCTCTTACTCTTCCCCTTGCTCACTGGACTCCAGCCATACTGGCCTGTTTGCTCTTCAGAGGCCACTAGTCACATTCTTTTATAAAGCTTTTGCATTTTTCATATGCCTTGTTTAGAACCCTTGTTCCCAGATACTCATATTACTTATTCTCCTAATTCATTCACGTCTCCACTCATTTGCTCTCTCCTCAGGCCTTTCTCGACCAACTTGTCTAACACTTGTCACTCCATCCTTTCCTCCTTTGTTCCTAGTATTTAAACAGATACGACATCGTATGACATATTTGTTTATTACGTGCCTTCCACCCTAGACTGCAGGCTTCATGAGGTTAGGGATTTGTCTTGTTCATTGATTTATTCCCAGTGCCTAGAGTACTTCCAGACACATGGTAGGCTTCAGTTCACTAACTGAAGAAGTATTACATTCTTACAGTTTTTTTTTTGTTTTGTATTTTCTAAGCTACTGTTGTTCTTGGAACATCACCACAAAACTAAAGTTCTGACATTTAATTTTTCCTTATGTGATGAGTGCTAAGCCCCACAAATGGACTGTCTTCTCATACTATCTCTTACGAGGTATCAAGGCAAATAAAGTTTAGTGAAAGATTTTAACAGGAGCAGGATATTTTTCTTTTTCTGGCCTTTTATACTAAAATGAAATAAAATCAAGTGAATTAGTCTTTGCTCTTTGTCCTTGGAAAGACCTTCGTCCAGTTGTTTTAGTGAACATGGAGGGCAAGGAGAATAGTAAAGAAAAGAACAGAGAACAGTTGTTAAAACTACTAAGCTACAGAGGCGCTTGGTGAGCTCTGTCAGAGAAGCATGTGACTCTTGATCTCAGGGTCCTATGTTTAAGCACAACGTTGGGTGTACAGATTATTTAAATAAATGAAACTTTAAAAAAAAATCTATTAAGCTATAAATAAGCCCAAGCAAAGAAAAGAGTTCCGTACATTTCTAGTCAGTTTAAAAGCACATTTGAGTTGGCTGCAAGGTTTTAACAGGTGCATGTCTCAAGGCCCAAGGTTTATTGGAAGGTCTCTTATATCTGTAAATTTTGTATCTTGATACATTTGCCTAATGACTTATAGTAATGTAAGAGAGTATTTATTAAAATGAGTATAGGGGGTTTGTGTGTGTGTGGGGGGGTGGTAAGTGGTGGGAATGAGTATCCTATAAGTGGCCATTGGGAAAATCACAAGAAATTTCACAGATCAATTTTTTTAATTTAAATTCATTTAATTAACATATAATGTATTATTAGTTTCAGAGGTAGGGGTCAGTGCAGTTTGTTATCTTTTTATCCTATGGGTTTTTTGGAGGTGGTAGCTGTTACTAGTCTGTTTTTTCCTATATAAATTAAATCAACTTGAATGAAGTGCAAGTTAAAAAGAGAAATTCCACTTTTCTTTGAGAATCATTATATAATCAGGGCTTTGCAAACTTTAGTTAATTATAATTGGTTAATTATGATTTAGCTAATTATAATTAAAAATTTCTTTTGACTGTTGTGGTAGTTTGGCCAGTAGGAGTCTCTTTTCAGCTGGCTTCTGAGTCCTTTTTATTATCATCTCAGAATGTTTCAAAGCTCATTGTTCTTTGGCAACAGTATTTTTCAGGCCCATCTTTAATTTTCTCTACCCCAGGATATGAAGTAGACTATTCTCTAAGGACTCCTAGTTCTTCTTAGCTGAAAATAGTATTAGAGATAAAAAAGTGGGCTCTAAGGATGCATATTATATTGTTTTTATTGAGAATTAATTGTTAGTCCATTTTAGTGATATATTAGTTATTGCATAGATGTGAGAGTGTATTCATCTGCTTATAAATACTTGTTCACATTAATACTTTTAGTTACCTCTAGTATAATTTTTTTTTTTTTA